TAGGCCGGAGGATGAGGAGGGGTTGGGGTTACAGTCACATGGTTTAGACTGAGGTGCTGAGCGGTTTGATAGCACCATTCCTTAGCTAGGGAACTGAAGCAGGTTCTGGGGGAAAATTCACATGGGATGTGTTAAGAGCATCTCGAAGTGGAATTGTCTAATGCACAGAGCTGTGGGCCAATGACTTCTGAAATGAACCTGGCCTGGGGATATGTATTTAAAAATGCATAGAGCCAGGCAAAGTGACTCACACCTGCAATCCTACTACTCAAGAGGCTGAGATCTGAGGGTTGAGGTTTGAAGCCAGTCTAGACAGGAAAGTCTGTGAGACTCCAATAAGCTACCAAAAAAATCTGGAAATAGAGCTGTGGTAGAATGATAGCCTTGAGCAAAAAGAAGCTCAGGGACAGTGCCAGTACTAACACCCCCCCCCCACACCCACACATACCACACACACACACAGCACATACACACACAGCACATACACACAGAGTCATTGTAATAGATGTAGTAATGGAGAAAATGGGAGTATATTTGTTTGTATAATGAGTGCATTCGAAGGAAAAATAGGACAAAGTAGCTATAGAATACCAAGAGGGCTAGGAAAAATGAGCATGGGACTAGAAGTTCAGTCCCGGGAACTCAAAGCCAATTTGCAAACCATGAAAACAGGATTTTGGAGAAAGGTAAGTGAAATTTGGTTGATTTTGCCAGACAAAAATGAGAGCTGTATGTGCTTCTTTTTCAAGAGAAAAAAGTACAGTCATTTAGTCTGGGGAGAAGGATGGGCATGTATGTATGTATGTATGTATGTATGTATGTATGTATGTATTTTAGTGCCAGCACTGGGGCTTGAGCTTACTGCCTGGGCACTGTCCCCAAGCTTTTTGCTCAAGGCTAGGATTCTACCACTTGAGCCACAGCACCACTTCCATCTTTTTGAGGGCTAATTGACCAGGCTAGCCATGAACTGTGATCCTCTGATATCAGCCTCCTGAGTAGCTTTGATTACAGGTGTGAGCCACTGGTTTCAAGGATTTTTTTTGGAGGGGATAGTCTTGGGGCTTGAACTCTGGGCTTGGACACTGTCCCTGAACTTCTTTCACTCAAGGCTAGTGCTCTACCACTTGAGCCACAGCACCACTTCCGGTTTTCTGATGATTTATTGGAGATCGGAGTCTCAGGGAGTTCCCTGACCCGGATGGCTTTGAATCACAATCTCAGATCTCAGCCTCCTGAGTAGCTAGGATTACAGCTGTGAGCCACCTGTGCCTGGCTCAAGGAAGGCTTTTTAAACAAGCTCCGTCAGCCTGGGCTTCTGGATGTTCCTGCTGAGGGATGACTCTGGGCCTGTGCTGGCCCAGCGCTGCCTGTTTGCAGAGGGCAGATGTCAAGTTGCTGTCCTGAGTGTTTCTTTGCCCTGGTGGTTAGGGAGATGAGGAGAGGAAGCAGCAGCCTTGCCTGGAGCTGTGAAGACATTCTTGACCTCCCTCACGCAGGGGAATGGAGTGAGGGAGATAGGACAAGAAAGAAAATGAAAAAAGCCTTTTTAAGACTGTGTACGTGAAAGCATGTAGTCAGTGAATGAGTTAGTCATTGGGCAACTCTACAGCGTACACATATTTAAGTGTCTGTTCCTGTTTCATGGGGAAATGTCTGCAAGGACAAGAGAAGGAAGAAGTAGGAATCTAGGAAAACCAGAGATGGAACACTCTTTGAAGCAAACAGGTTTTGTTACATATGATGGAAAGTCTTACCAGAAAGTGAGCCAAGTGCCTTACAAATAATGACTAATCTTTGAAATAATCTTATCAAGTAGATAGATTCTGTTATCATCTTTACTTCATACTTGGCAAAAACAAGACGTGAAATTTGCACAAGGTCAGAAAGAGGGTGAATCGTGCTTTGAAATGTGATTCTAGATAGTTGGGTTCTAGAAAAGTCCAGGCGTTAGACTCGTTTTGCTATCTTTCCAGATAAACACATGCTCTGAACATGCCCTAAAATGTTCCATCTCATAAAAAGGAAACTAGATTCCAGAAAAATTGAGTAATTTGGCCAATATCACACAACTCATAGGCCATTGAGTCAGAATTTGAACCCAGATTCCTTCATTCCAAAATCTCTTTCTAGTAGATTTTACTGCTAATTATTTTTTTCTCTGTATACATGCAATTGTGTGCATAAAATTTAATTTTACTTGTTTTACAGACATGAATCCCCAAATATTTATTAAATGCTAATAGAACCTGACTCGAAGCAAATGCCCTTGATGTCTCGGTTTTCAGTGATAATATCAATTTAATCCAGGCCATCCATATATCAGATTGAAAATAAAGGTGCAGTAACACATTGGGGTCTAATTGGCTGCTGCTATTTTCAGGGTTTGATTCTCTAGACAGGCCATCAGAATATCTTATGATCACAAAGAATTAAAAAAAAACCTACCAGTATAGAAAGCTATTTAAAAATCATTATTCCTTATTTATTATCTCTAAAACTAATAACTACCCCAGTAGGGGGTGATGGCTTAATGGGCTACAACTCTTATAGGTAGTTTTCTTTTCCCTCTTTCTTTTATTTCTTGAGATTTAAGGGAGGCAGCAGATACAAGAGTCAGATTTGAAGGTGATTCTTTGAAATCAACAAAGGCTACCTGGGACTTTGCTGAAGGATAAAGGACTGTTAGGTAGTTTTGGTCACATAGAAAATATTGTAATAGAGTGCCCCCTAATGGTGCTTTGAAGAAGCAATTTTGGAGCGATTAAGTATCACTTGTCTATAATCTCTATCACCACCTTGTGGTAGTGTCTAACAATTTTAGCCTCTTATTGGCAAAAATCTTGCAGGATCTTGCATTAATCTGTAAACACAGCAGGTCATGGGCTATCCTGGGGGATACCAAATTGAATGGAGGATTTTACAAGTATTTTAGTTATAATTCTGTAAAACATTTGGGTGGGGGGGCATTACTAAAAACAAGGCCTTTGTAAAGAAAACTAATTTGCTTGCTTCCCCCCTTTCCTTTTTCTTTTCTCTCTCTTCCCCCTCTTTCTCTTTCTCTCCCCTCCCCCTCCCCTCTCTCTTTCTTTCACTTAGTGCTGGTACCTGGGCTTGAACGTAGAGCCTCAAGCTCTTCCTTGGCTTTTTCACTCACAGCTGGCTCTCTACTACTTGAGCCACACCTCCACTTTCCGCTTTTGCTGGTTAATTGGAGAGAAGAGTCTCAAGGGATTTTCCTGTACTGGCTAGTTTCTAACCAAGATGCTCAGCTCTCAGCTTCCTGAGCTGCTAGAATTATAGATGTGAGCCGCAGCTCACAATCAATGAGGTGAAAGTAGATGTTTTAAGCTTCCATTTTTTTTTCTCACAGTGTAAACTACACACACTGTAAAGCTCCTCACATCAGCCTTTCTCGAACATATGGTGGCACCAGCACGTTCTCAATGTTGTCCACCACCCACTTCCTTCCTTCTCCCACACACCAAATTAACAGGCAGTGCCCATTCAGTGCTCATCTCTCTGACCTACCCTGATCATTTCTACTTCATATGAATTTGCTCCCCTTGTACATAGGAGCACACAATATTTCTTCTTCTGTATCCGCTTTTTGCCACTTACCATAAATGTTTCCTTTACGTTGCTGCCTGCATCATAGTTTCATTTCTTTCTAAAGAATTAATAGCACTAAGCAAAAGGAAAGAAATGAACATATCACCCAATGTGGAAGAAATAACTGTATTGTCAAAGCTCAAAGAACTCATAAACTTTATAGACCACGATAAAGACAATTTGCCCCATGAAGGTTAGAATGTGTTTGTGACTTTAACCAAGTATCACTATCCCACAATACTGTGAAATTTCTGAAATCACTTAATCACAATAAAAATTGCAAAAAATTAATAGCATTCCATGTGCATACCACATTTCATCCATTTATCAACACCCCCCCTTTTTTTAAAAAAATAGGGTCTCGTTATATTGCCCAGGCTGGCATCTAACTCCCTATGCTCAAGCAACTCTCTGTCTCTGTCTCTTGAATAGCTGAACCTAGCTGCTTATCTGTTCATCTGTTCATTGATAGATATTTGGATTCTTTTCACCTTTTGATTGTGATGAAGAGTGCTGCTATGAACACTAATGAATACATATCTGGCCCCTGCCTTCATTCCCCGCGCCCCTCCCCTGTATACTTAGAAGCAGAGTTCTAGGAATCGTGGTAATTCTACATTTTTGAGGAACTGGTATCTGGTGTTCCACAGTGGCCAACCACTTTATATTTCCACCAGCAGCGCGCACAGCTGACATTTCTCCACATTTTCACGAATACTTATTATTTTCCCTTTTTTTAGTAGCATCCTAGTGGGAATGGAGTCTACAGATTAACTTCTGAGTTTTTGAATTTGAATAATTATACCTAAAGTGAATTTAAGAAATGTTTTGAGCCCCTGGTCAAAAGTATTGTTATCCTGTAGGAGATAATAAATATAATAATAAATACATTGTTGGGTCTTTAAATGTTCTTATAATTTTCTTTTTTCCTGTGTTTCTAAATAAATAAAGATATCTTATAATTTTCTATGAGTAGTTGAGAAAAATTAACCCAGAGACTTTAATGCCAAATTCGAGGAAAATTGGTGCAGAGATTAAATTGTTTGTTTAACTTATTCACCAAAGAATACCATCAATTTATAATGCTATAGTTTTCATTAGAAAATTTCCAACTTAAATCTGTCTTCCTAGTTTAGTTTAGATAGAACCTGATAGGACTGTTGTAGTATTAATTCTTCCCTTGTGTTTTCAGAATTGAACTTGATAAATTTCTCTCAAAACGGAACAATCAGAACTGTCCTTGTTTGGGTTTTTGAGTGCTTGTGGAATTTTTCAGTTCCATCTTTGGAATGAGCAAGTCAGGAAGTATTCTGTTAGGCAAGATCTCTAATGTTTATTTTTCCCTTAATAGGACAGCCTTATTGGAAGAATCCTGGTTCACAACCACAATGTCTACTGCACAGCTCGCTCATGCACCCAGAACACACAAGACATCTAAGGTATTTGTTAAGAATTAAAAAAATCAATGCCCATTTAGTGAGTTACTTTAGAAGCATGATTTTAATCTTTTTTCTTTTTAAAAAACAGCAGTCGTATCAGTTAATTGGCAGGTAATATTCTGGGAGAGTATGTCTACACGTTAACTGCCTAATGGACTGAAGAGGTCTAGAAAATTAAAAGGATTACAAAGTTATTCACTAGGTGCTTGTTTAATGTCTATACATCTTCTAGAGTGCGGGAAATCAGAAACAAAATGATATTTAAAGAGAATGATTCTTTGTTAGACATCCACTTCCTGAATAATTCGGGAACTCTTAGGGCACATGGTGATATAATTATGGAACTAAGGAGAACATTGAGAGAAAAACGGCTGCTAGAAATCTGTGGGCTGGGAAGGTGGCTCAGTGGTAGAGCGCTTGCCTTGCATGCATGAGGCCCTGGGTTCGATTCCTTAGCACCACATAAGCAAAAAGAAAAAAGCCGGAAGTGGCGCTGTGGCTCAAGTGGTAGAGCGCTAGCCTTGAGCTGAAGAGCTGAGGGACAGCGCCCAGGCCCAGAGTTCAGGCCCCATGACCAGACCCCCCCCCCCAAAAAAAAAAAAAGAAACCTGGGGAGTTGATTAGTCAGCTTACCATTGCTGTGAAAAAAATAGCTGAGCTAATCAACTTAAAGAGAGGAGAGATTTCTTTTGGTTCAAGGTTTTAGCGCGTGGTTGATGGATTGCATCATTTGGGGGCCTGTGGTGAGGCAAAGCATCTTGGTCAAGGAAACACCCCTTGAGCTGTCTCCTTCCCATCAGACCTGGCTTCCTGAAGTCCCGCCTCCTCCCAGGGCAAGGGCCTTGGCGGTCATTGGAGAGCCTGACATCACAGGGAGGGTTCCATGGGCAGCCTTGCTGGAGTCTGGAGTCACTCTAGCCGTTTTAACGTGTCCTAAGACACTCAGCAATGCGGTGCTTGTTTATTTATGACTATCCAGTAGTCTCCAGGACATTGCATTGTTTCAGAAGATAATACAATAGAAATGATCTTCAATTTAAAAAATCTGATTAGGGAAGTAAGTTTTTTTTTTAAGCTGGTCATTGATGGCTTATGTCTCTAATTCTAGCTACTCAGGAGACTGAGATATTAGGATTGTACTTCAGAGCCAGCCTGGGCAGGAAAATCCATGAGACTCCCATGTCCAATTAACCACCAGAAAACCGGAAGTGGAGCTGTGGCTCAAGTAGGAGAATGCTAGCCTTGAGCAAACAAAACCAAAGGAACAGCGTTCAGGCCCTGAATCCAAGCCTTATTACTGGCATATGTGCACACGTGCGTACATGCGCGTGCGCGCACACACACAGGATTAATTGTAGTTAAGTCAACATACTGATATTTGCATACGTACAAAAAGAGTAACAATGGCTGATAGGAGTTTGGGGAGTTTGTGAGTTTGTAGATGCAGGAATGGTTTGTACATTCCTCATGAAGGAGGTGAATATCAGGAGTAATGAAAAATAGAGTTTTGTGAGGAAAGCTGTCTTGTCCCTCATAGTGGAAATGAGTGTGGCATGGTTTAGAGAATTCCATGAAAGCCATCCTTCCTGGGTGGAGAGCTCATCTTGTTGAACAGAAAGTAGAATTAGATAGGAACTTTGGAAAGTAGATGAATACAGACCTTAAAGGCCTGTATGCTTTTCTTCTATAGTTAATGGAAAGTCAAAGGGCCTGGTCAGGAGAGTGAATAAGGTTTTAGGGTATTAAATTGTCACAGAAGTAGACAGATTGAAGCAGGAAGGCGCAGCCATCTTTCTGGCTTGGTTTCAATGTTCTCACTGATCTCATTTGCTTTCCTAAATGCGCTGCCTTCCTGGGGGAAATGTTGAGCTGGGTGTGTGAATCGCAATCAACCTGGCCATTCTCCTTCTCACAGTAAATTAACAAACTGACCTTTTAATACAACCAAATCTTCATTGTTTGGACTGCATAAACTACTTTCCCCAGTAAAATTTAAATGATAGTATAATTTCTGTTATTTAATAGTTAGAACAACACTAATCATTATAGAAGCCAACATTTATTCAGCATGTGTCTGCGTGCCAGGCATGGTGCCAAGGGCTTTATGCTATTATTTCAATTAAACCTCTCCATATGGAAGAAAAGCAAAATAAGTTGCTCCAGGTCCTGGAGTGCTAGGATTACAGGCATGAATTACTGTGCCTGGCCCCCAAAAGCAATTAAACATTTTTACACATCCCCAAACATCACACATGCAAAAGTAGTAACGTTGTTATAGACTAGACTATAATATGATTTGGCAAAAAGAGCAATGCCATAATACATTGTCACTATATACTACACTAAGAAAAGGTATTTTTACATAGAAAAACCATGTTTTGAACACTCAGAAAACATTCTGCTGGAAATTCTTCTTCATCTAAAGGTTTATTCGTAGACAGTCCCTACCTCTAAGTAACAGGACTATTAGAACTTGTACCTTTGAACCACGTAGCATAATGAAAGGAGACAGTTACTTGCCAGCTTACTTTTTTTGGTTTCTTCTGATGCCCATGCCACACTGTATGAGACTGGTTCTAAGGTCCTTCCAGTTCTGAACTACGGTGCAAAGTCTAAACAAAGAATTTAGATTTGCTTTACAAGGTGATTGTTTCAACTTTAGTCTGGGCAGGGGAAAGGTGCCCCTATGAACATTAGAAGAATTCCAATTAGATTAGTGTAGTCTTACTAAATTATTCTTGCCACTAAGTTTTGGAATTCTATAGAACCTAACCAAACACATTTTCTCATTTAGTGGTTTATTTGTTACAGAAGGTTGTAAGTATGACTTGATTTTCAAACAAAGTTATCAGCTTTTGAGGACCAGATTTTGCAGCACATGTAAAATTCTTCTGATAGTCCTAAAGCTGTTTTTTTTTAACTTAAGCATTTAATTATTGAAGAGAATCTCTCTCTCTCTCTCTCTCTCTCTCTCTCTCTCTCTCTCTCCCTCTCTCCTCCTTTGGCATATACTGTCTGCTGGGTTGGTGATTCTATCTCTTTGATATCTAAATCTCTCCAGCTGGTCTGTAAATTCCATGAAAGTGCTGTCTTTATTTCACCTTAGGTTTGCTTTGATGTTTTGCAAATCACCATCATCACATTTGTTGGTAAACAAGTGAAACCATACAGGAAAATAAGGAACTGTTAAACCAGGCATGTGCTAAGCACTTCATTGACACTCACTCCTTTAATCCTCACAATAATTCAGTAATGTAGTCATCACTTTTAATGAAGTAATGGAAGCCCAGAGGGGTTAAGTAATTTAGGCAAAATCTGGCGTTTGGCACTAGGTTTACAAATAAAACTTTATTGGAACATGGCCGCACTGGAACTGCTTCAGTTATAATCTGTGACTTTTTTCATATTCTCTGGCAGAATTAATTGTAAAGCTTAAAATGTTTATATCTGGCCTGGTATGGAAAAGGTTCTTGACCCTTTCAGGATCATAGAACATGCTGAATAAGGATTGAACTGTCTGGCTAGCTTTGGTGTATTTCTTTTCTTTTTTTTTTTTTT